AATATCCCCCCCCCCCCCCCCCACTGTCAACATTTTTTTCGTTCCATCCCACTTCACATGGTATTCCTAACTACTGTCTCCACATTTTGACATAAATTCTCTCGACTGTCAATCTCACTACCCTCATTTTCTCTTCCTCCCTGGCAGCTTGTAACTTGATCAGAGGTAGGGTATACCTGTACTGATTCTTTCAGTGAACGTAGTTTAAAAATAAAATTATTATAATTGCTATTTAAAAGAATAATGTTAATAATGTCTGCAGTGTAAATTAGGGTTATTAAGTGCAATTTTTTACTACAATTTTCCCCTTTTCATGTGACGTCACATTGCTTAAGGCCCCCCTCCCCCTTGTCACACATCATCACAAAAATGTGACCCCCCTCCCTCTAGATACGTGATGTCTTTTATGGATGGCTCCTGCACTAACCTTTGTGTTAATAACAAGGGAAATCCATTTTTCAAAGCAGGAGTAAAAACAGGACTGACATATTCATGATTTATATAGTTAAACATGCTTATTTATTTTTACTTACCACAATGGTTTCATCTGTGTTACACTCCCTAAAATCATTATTTAAAAGATTTAGTTCAAATGTTAAGTTTTAATTAGCAGAAAACACAATAGTTAATACATTACCAAAATTACCAGAGTGTTAATTGACACATTCAAGTGTAAAGGATATTCAATGATTTGTATTTATGTTCATTAAGTGTGTAAAAACAATTAAATTATAATTTAAAATGAGTAAAACAGAGTAGGGTTAAACCTGAAAAAATAAACGCAACAAAACAGCGAACGTGTTGGCAGAAAGCCTTCGTCAGCGAACAAAAAAACCCAGAAAAAAGCAGTATAAAAAAAATAGCACTTAGCTGGGAAGTAGTGTCTGTCGGCAGCAAAAGAAATGTGTTTTGTTGCGTTTATTTTTTTAGGTTTAACCCAACTCTGTTTTACTCATTTTATATTGTACTAACCTGATTGCAGTCTCTCCCCTTATTACCCTAAATTATAATGTTGATTCGAACCATAAATTATTGTTTAGAGAATCTTTGAGCAATCGGAAACAATTTTTTTAGACCTTATTTTGTCTTGAAATTATAAATATACTTGTCTGCCTACTTTGAACAATTTTTTTCCCTAAAATGTTTCACTTTTATTTCTAAAGCTATTAATAGAAATATAATTATAATAGTTTTTAAACAGGTATTTAATATAAAAAAGAGAATCATTGGAAATGTGTGGACCAAATGCACACCAAATATGACTGCTCAGCTGATAATCTTTTTTGTAATGTATTTTATAAGACCAATTAATGTAACTGATTACTTTTTGTTTAACTAATTTGACAATCTTAATATAAATGTGAAAATATCAGAATGAAAAATGAAACTTAAATAGTCTTTTATAAGTCATCTTGTTCATTACATTCTCTAAAACAGGCCTGCACAACTCAAAATGTAAGGTGGGCCGTAATACTTTATGAAAAACTTGTGCGGGCCATAATATTTTATGAAAGCTTGTGCAGGCTGAAAGATGATAGGACAAGGGGAACGCTATTAAAAAAATAACAAAAATAAACAATATTTTGTTACTTCGCCAGCCACCAAGTGGGTGCCGCCGGGCCTATGTTTTGCAGGCCTTCTCTAAAAGATACACACAAAAAAAGCAACAATAAATGCCTGCATTCTGTTTTATTACCAAAAAATTAAAGTGTAAATTTTCTTGTTATACTAAACTTAATTTTTAAAACTAATTTTAGTTAAATAATTCAGTCTTTACTCTTGGAAAGCTGCAGAATGATCCAGAATGTTGGTTTAAATTTCTCCTAACTGATAGATCTTTCCTCACCTTTTACAATCACTCTGGGTATATTTGGGATTTTCCACAAGGCTAAGATCTATGTCCATTTCCATCAAACAACAATTCGTACAAAGCTGTGGATAAATGAGAAAGTTAACAACAATAAATAAAACTAAACAGAAAAAATCTCTAGCCCCTGCATATAAATTTAGTTATATGTGCAAGTTGAAAAATGTTATTTTAAGCTGTAGTTTTATACAACCATATATAAGTCTTCATCCTCAATATGAATTAGCCATTGATAAAACTCAATTTACTTATTAATATTTGGATACTTAGAAATGATAGGATGCTTTAAGCTTAAACAGATTAAACTCATACCCATTTTGAAAAGTCTGGTTTCTTTCTAAAAATAATCCTACATTAGGAAATTCAGAGTAGCATCTTACAACTGTAATGTTATACCTTTTTAATTTGTTTTCCTTGAATTGCCTCAGCTGTCTTACAGCTTTCACACAAATCTAAATGGTTATTTGGACACCTGTTTCCAAAGCTGCAATTACCATTCAGAAAATACTGACATTGATTTGGAACTTGAGTGCCACGTGTTAAGTCAACTTTAAAAAATAAATAAATAACATTTAAAAGAAACAACAGATTCATTATTTAATAGTTTAGTAAATACCCAATTCATGACCTGTGACAAGGTAACTGAGCGAATTGGTGAATAGATGAGGAGCTTATCTTTCTTAATAAAGAAAAGGTTTTAAGGCAGTAAAGGAAAACCAAACAAAAATTTCTGAGGGAATTCTGCAAACTGATTGAATGTCTTAAAGGTCATCAAAAAGGATTTTTTTTCAAAAGAAGCTGTAAAATGAATATAATTTAACAAATATTAGTCAATCATAGCTTACAACAACATTTGAATATTATATTCTTCTTTATTGAGCTTAAATTATTATAATTTACTATTCACATTGACAGATATGTATGTGTTCATACACACTCTCATTAGTAGGTGGAGAGAGGCATTTAATGAGAATGAAAAATGTCTTGTTTCTATTCAAAAGGTTGGACAATAATTATTTTTCAAAATAAGGTCAATCCTACCCAGGTGATAAGTAGGCCTACTAACAGTAGTCTAGGAAAATCCCATTGAATTGTGCATAAAATATTTGGAAGAAGCTGAATTTTATTTAATTTATTGCTCTAATCTTTTGATACCACATTTGAAAAAACCATTATAGATAATCTGCATATATATTAAATAAAGATAAAAACATGATCCCAAATATAAAATATTTGTACTGTAATCTGCATTTTTACCCAATAAAATTCAAAAGTTTAACAAATTCGATTATTTCACAATGTACCCAAATCTCAAGGCTTGCATGGGTCATATATTTTAGCAAATAAGTTTATCTTACATTTTGAACATTGAAATGATAAATGTAAGTTACATTTGCTCAATTTGGATTCTAAGGACTTTTAACACAACATTACACACAGTTATATATTAAGTATACTATAAAATATTAAAATAATGACTAAATCACAATATTTTTAAAGATTTTTCTGTTCTTACAAGAGGAAGTAGCTTCCCCAAAGGCATGTGCCTGTATGATACACTTTGAGTTGTACATACCGGTGCAAGGCTTCTTTTCTTGAAGAGCTGCCATATTGAAATTTGACTAAGTTAAGACAGAAAGGCTCCTTTATTTTGTGTAGTCTGTTGTTAGAAAAGATAAAAAGAAATTGGCACATATAAGGCCTACATATAGTTGTAAATTTTAGGTTAGTAAAATTAATTATCCTAAATTTAACCGGTTTGTAATAATCTTAAATCATTGATTTGGCATAGACTAATGACTGGTGTTTTTGAAAATTCAAATCAGTCTTCGTTCGCATATAAGGCCTAATATAGGCCTACACATATTTTGACAAATGCCTGACATGGCAATAGTGATGAATTGGAGGGAAGACATTTGATATAAAGTTTTTTTCTAACAGCTGGGTCAGGCTTCTAGGACAAAGGATAATGAAATGGATATTATTGTTGACAAATTGTGATTGTTGTCATTATAAATAATGAATAGGCCAAAGGCCTTCAAAATAGTAGGCTTAAACTGGCTTAAAGAATAGTTTGCTTATTTTATATATTGAATTGAAATATTACAAATTATGTAATGATGGCTGTGGTTATTCACATTAATCATAAAATTGGCATATTGATGAATGTATTGACAATATAGGACATTCAAAATCGCATTTTTTATCTTATTTAATTTTAACTCTAATTCAGTGACTTGATTATATTTTAAAGTGATATTCATGGG